GGGGGGGCAGGCACCGTGGCCGGACCGCTGCAGACAGCCACAGCAAAGTGAGGAAGGGAGGGGAGAAGATGTCTGTCCCACCGGCACCGATCTAACAGGCAGCAGAAGGGGGGGCTTCTATCGAAAAAAAAACTGCTCGGCTGCGATCGTCTTTCAGGGTGGGGGGGACTTTTTTGTGCTTCGGGTCATTTTTTTTGTGAAATTGTGCCGTCATGGAAGTCCTGGAGTCTCCCACGAAGGAAATCGAGGATTTCGAGAGCAACTCTCTGAAGTACCTGCTGCCAGAGCAGATCGAGAAGATCTGGCTACGGCTGCGCGGACTGTGAGTAATGCCTCGTGCCCACTGTGTGGTGCGTGTGAGTGTAAAGGTGTGAGTGAGTATGTGTGTGTGAAAGAGAGAGTGTGCATGTGTTCCTATAAGTGTCTGTGTGTGTATGTGAGTTTGTGTGTGACGGTGTGCGTGAGGGTGAGAGTGTGTATGTGACTGAATGTAAGAGAGAGAGTGTGTATGCCAGTGTAAGGGTGAGAGTGTGTGTAACTGTGTGTCAGATACTGTGTATGTGTCACTGTAAGTGTCTGTGTGTGCATGTGATTGTATGTGAGAGAGTGTGTATGCCAGTGTAAGTGTTTGTGTGTGTGTATGAGTGTAAGGGTGAGAGTGTGTGTAACTGTGTGCGTGAGAGAGTGTGTATGTGTCGCTGTAAGTGTCTGTGTGCATGTGAGAGTGTATGTGATTGTATGTGAGAGAGTGTGTATGCCAGTACAAGTGTGTGTCAGTTTTGGGTGTGATTGTACATGATTGTGTGTTTGCATATTGCGGTGTTTGGGTGTCTGTATTCATATTGCCGTGTAGATATGTTTGTGTGTTTGGATGTGTCTGTGTGTGCGTGTGCGTGTGTGTGTGTGTGTGTTGTGCTCCTTTCAGATGTTCACCCATTAAATGTAAGTTTGCTCTGGAACCTGTAGCAGTCTGAAAACAGGAGGGAAACATCTACCTCCTTACGGCCGCGCACTGTAGCCATTTACATGCAGTGTTCAGCAGTAAATGCTGCATAGACAAGCAGTCACTTAGTAGAGTTGTGTTTTTGAATGACTTTCAGGAAAGATATTTTAAAATCAATGATATATATATATATATATAAAATGTGACCTTAAAGATTTTGTAGGGCCACAGACGTCAAATTGAACTTTAATACATATTCATATACAATATTTATATACATATATTAATATTTAACCATACTGGTGCTGTCTCAGTTGACATTGAGTTCCTAATTTGTTCTTGGTTCTGCTTTAAGTACGTCTCAGGTTTTTAAAGACAGCGCCCCCCGCTGGCCTGATATTGCTCAGATGTCAAAAAGCTGTACTGAAGTTCAGTTTCCAATGAACTTAATACTACAGAGGAGTGGAGGAGGGGTGGGGGGGGGGGGGGGTACGAACACGGTCATCATCATTTAATCCCTCTGTTTCTGCAAGACGGCATTTAGCACAATTGAAGGTTCGTGCATCACTGGAAGAAGATAGGCTGGCCAGCAGAGATGGGGGGGGGGGGGGCAAACACTGAGCGCTAATCCAGCCCCCACCTGCTGCTCACCTCATTTATTCATCGTGACTGGTTGGGGGGGTAGGGTGAGTGGGGAGGAGCATCGCCCTGCTGAATCCCCCCCCCCCCCACACACACACACATACACACACAACACATGAGCCGCAAGGCAGTTTACGTGTGAAATTTACACGAAACATAAACGTGAAAGCAAAAAATGATGAGAGCGGAACCCCAGAGGAAGTTGCTCGGTCAGGGAAACGTGAGAGTCAGGAGCCATGCCATCACTGTGTGTGTCAGAGCGCAAGGCCATGACAACACTATGTGTCACAGCGTAGGGGCCATGATGTCACTGTGTGTGTCAGAGCGCAGGGCCATGACAACACTATGTGTCACAGCGTAGGGGCCATGATGTCACTGTGTGTCACAGCACAGGGACCATGACGTCACTGTGTGTCTCACAGTGCAGGGGCCATGACGTCACTGTGTGTGTCACAGGGCGGGGCAATGACATCACTGTGTATGTCACAGTGAAGGGGCCATGATGTCACTGTGTGTGTCACAGTGCGGGCCATGATGTCACTGTATATGTCATAATGCGGCGGCCATGACGTCACTGTGCATGTTATAGCGCAGGGAGGAAAGTATGTACAGCGCTCACAGAAAGTCTTGTTTATTTCGTTAAAAATATTACAAATTTATTGGTTTTATTACAAAATCATTTCTTTTTATATTTGTTTACAAAAAAATCACATAATAACCAGTAAATATAAATAAAACATTTATTTCAAGTAGTAATAAATTGAAACACTTCTGAGATGTAGCTCAGAGATGTTCTGAGTTAAAAAAGTTCATTGACAAATATTCTCATTGGGTGCTTTTTAGTTTGTAACACCTTTTCAATAATATAAGACACCAAACATTTGTGTTTAGTGTCCCTTTGGGAGCCAGTTACTGCAATTGCAATTAATAGAAAAATGGCAAGAACAGAAGTGAATGAGTCAGTCAAAAAATTTATGACACTTAATAAAAAGAAAATCTCTGTGCTGCAGATATTATAATCATTGCTTGTCAATGGACTTTTGTTATGAAACTAATAAATTTTCAACTTTCTCACCAAATTAAGCATCCCAGCACATTCTGTGTGCACCGTATATTTCTGCGTGTGTGTGTGTGTGTGTGTGTGGGTTTGCATAGATCACATTTGAGGACCAAATTGTCCCCAAAGTGTAGTAAAACCTGAAATTTCCCTACTTTTGGGAACATCTTTTGAGGTCCCCATTTGGATAACCTCAGTTTTATAAAACTCTGTGAATGCAATCAAAAAAGTAAAAATGCCAAAAGTCTTGTATTTAGGTTGGTTACTTACGGTTAAGGTTAGGGATATATATATGTATTTTAATGCCAAAAGACTTGCCTCTTCTTTGGTTACTTATGGATAAGGTTAGGCCTGGGTAGGAGTTAAGGTTGTCATGTTTGGGATTAGGGTTTTTCCCCATAGAAATGAAAGGACGGTCCCCATAAATATGTGAATACAAGCATGTGTGTGTCTGTGTTTCAGAACCTGATCTAAATCTGACCCCACATCAATAGCTGTCTCCCACCCCCCAACTTCAGCAGTACTGACTGTGTTAATCCCCAAATATGAGTGATGGCTGCCTGTCATAGATATACAGTTACTAGATAAGCCGCAAGCGCACTGTAACTCTATATGTACCAGATACCATATGGACCAGAGCACAGGCAGGTCAAACACATGGTCTGCTTACTCTACCGGTTTTGGATCTCTGTGTTCGACATAAAGAAAAAATTGAGGAAGCCCCCCCCAGCATGTCCTACAGAATCATAGAATTAATTGTTTCTATTGTTCACCATTAATTAGCAAGGCAGGTGTCTTTGACACTGAGTGCCAGTTTAATTCGGCATGTAATAACTGTGTTAGTGGGTGGCCGTGCGAGCTAGCATTAGGATTAGCATTGACACGGGGCTGACTGATTTGCCCGTGTTGAGGTTACTGTATCAAGCTGGTGTCTTTATTAAGCTCCACGGTGTAGCAGGAGGCTTCAGTGGTAGGATTTATGGTGGCTCGAACGGTATCCCAACGTGGCTCTGCATGATCAATCAGTCACGCCTTTCTGTTGGTCATCATATTGCTGGTGTGAGTCATATCCCCCTCCTAACTCCAAGTTACTGCTACTCACGTGAACCTTAATTATTTCGTGTACTTATCTCTCCAGCAACATCCACCTACATTGTCTCCAGCTGCTCAGTTGCGGCATCCTACCATCTAGTCCCATCCTCTCGTAATTGCTGTCCAATCCTGTCCTCTCCTAATCGGGTTCTCCTACTGTCAAATCCCATCCTTTCCCAGTTGCCCTCCAATCCTGTCTTCTACCAATTGGTACCTCCTACAATCCAATCCCGTTCAATCCTAAATGAAGTCTCTTCCCACGCAATTCTGTCCCCTCCCATTTGGGATCTCCTACAATATAATGTTGCGCGTTCCCAGTTGCCATCCAATCCTATCGTCGTCTCCCACTTAGGGTGTCCACCCATCCAATCATATACCCTCCCACCTCATTTCCAAGGCTTCACCTTCCTCCAATATGTCCATCTCTCCATCCTCCCTTTCTTTCATTTCTCTCCAATAAACCTCTCCCTTTTCACACACTCTGGTGTCGGCAGCCCTTCCTGAAGCTCGACCTCAATCCCTCCGTTCCACCTCAATCTCCATTGCTGAATAGATCCCTGATCAGGCCCAGACCTCCTGACCCCTCCCCCCTACCAGCTTCCCCCCATCCTCCTTCACTCGTCCTTCCCAAGTCCCCCTGGGGCCGAGCCTTTCATCGCAGCATAACGAACTGGCTGATGTCATCAGGGCTCCACGTCACCGAAGGAAATGGAAACATCTGAATACCCCTGGCGCACAATCGAGCAGATCCTCAAACCGCCAGCTATTCTATCCGTTTTTCCCGCTTATTGATCTCGCCGTTAAAGCCAGCCGGAGTAGACGCAGATACGTTTTCATCACAATGCCAGCGTTGTTGTGCCGAGGTCACGTTTGACTGAACGTGAGAGAGCGTGTGTGTCATGACAAAGAGGGCCAGCTTCTCAGAAGCATTCTTAAATACACGTGACGGCCCCCGGTCGAGATTTTCACCCTTTTTTTTGTTGTTGCCATTCCCCCCACAGGCGAAAATACAAGAAGACGTCACAGAGGTAAGGGGCCTTGCCGCCCCCATCTCCACCCACCTCTGCTCCAGAAGCATTCCGATTGGCTCTGGTGTCTCTGCTGCTGAAGTGTCACGTGGCTGGTTTGTGGTGACCCTGGCCATGCTGCAAGGTGTCACCTGCCAGCCTGATCATAGATAACCTGGGGTGGGGGAGGAGGGGCTCCTCAACATAAAGCTGTGACAGGGCAACTCGATGGTGGGGGGGATGAATGATTTACGGGAGGGAAAAAAAATCTGAGTTTGGGATTTGGGGCAAATGGTTAATCTGTGACCAAATAGTATCATGCCAAAGAGACTCTCGGACTCAGAGTCACTCGTCAGAGCTGGAGTAGGGAAGCCATCCGACTCTGCTGATGTCACACGTTAATGCCACGTTCAGAGTTGCTGTCACTCCTGACGGGTGAAGCTGTGTGATTAGTGCTCGTCGATGCTTATACTCTCCCCCCATCTCATCGAGTAGAGAGACTGAGCTGTATGTCTATGAGGCTGAGCACCAGAACATGAAGCTACACGTCATGTTAAAAACTCTGAGAGGTGGGATTCTTAGCTGATCCTGCCAGTCAGCATTCCTTCTGAGTGATGCTCAGCTTTAGGAGTACTCAGAATGTTCAGCGGTGTACCTGTACACTTACTCTGAACGTTCAGCTGTGCCCCTTTATGAGCAATCTAAATATTCAGTCGTCTACCTTAATGTGAATTCCGAATGTTCAGCTGTGCACCTTTATGAGTATTCAGAAAGTTCAGCTGTGTACCTTTATGAGTATTCAGAAAGTTCAGCTGTGTATCTTTATGAGTATTCAGAAAGTTCAGCTGTGTAACTTTATGAGTATTCAGAAAGTTCAGCTGTNCTTTATGAGTATTCAGAAAGTTCAGCTGTGTAACTTTATGAGTATTCAGAAAGTTCAGCTGTGTACCTTTCCGAGTATTCAGAAAGTTCAGCTGTGTACCTTTATGAGTATTCAGAAAATTCAGCTGTGTACCTTTATGAGTCCTTTATGAGTCAATGTACTCAAATAACATACTGCTTATTCCACTGCATATCTTAAGATTGCAAGATCCTTAGCTGTGTATTGCTCCTCCCTTTTATTGATTTCTTGTTGGTAACTTCATGCCCCTGTTATTTACTTACGTTGTCCAAGGGCACGAAGCTGAGACTGACGGAGCATCTTACATGATCTGAAGCTTGTCATAGAGAATCGCTGCTTAATATAGCTGACCAGGGCTGTCGTTTACTCCTATTTATTCTGTGGCTTGGTGGAATCGCTCAGTACTGCCACTTGCTATACGAAACAAGCTTTGAGTCACAAGTCTGTCAAGTAAAATGACTGGAGATTGATGGCTATAGGAGGCCCTGAGGCCTGACGTCTGTGATATCTGTGACGTGTCTCTGGGGGGAATGATTCTGTGCTGTTGTCATAACTAAGGGCCTGAAATAAGGCACCTGATTGGGAACATGAAAAGGCAACATACCACAAGACAGGCAGCAGAGTGGCATATACGAGGCGCTTTCACACCAAAATTCCGGAACCTGGTGCCAGGTTACTGGTTCCTGGTTCCTAGGCTGTCTTGACCAAGGACTTTTGAAGCTCCTGGCCACGTACATGTGTCGCTTTTACACCACACAACAGAACTGGGATCCTTTATGCTAAATAAGCATGGAAGACACAAAAAGATGAAACTTCACACACAATTTGAAACTACACTGCCACCCCAAAGCAATGGAAAATTAACAAGTTATTTTGTTAAATTATTCGCTAGTTATTGAGGAGGAGTGATCAAAGCAGGACACAGCCTTTTATTTATATTTTATTCACACGCAGCATGTTTATATTTCATTATTAAATAAGGCTGGCAGATTGACCTTTCAGTTTCACAGAATAAAAAACAGTGTAGCATTCCGCTGGCAAGATTCACCACCAGCACTGGCAATAGTAGGCAAAAGTATATTGGTTATCAGAAATATGGAGATGCAAACAAATTCATTAAATGTAACTGAAGTACAAAAAATAATTCCATCTGCTCAATTTTTGCTCAGCTAATTACATCTCTTTTCCATGCACTTCTGCGGGGAGTAATTTTGAAGTTTGCAGCAGTGCTTGTGGTCAACCAATCAGCTATAACTCTGTAAGCTCCTCCCCAGTAGATCTTGTTTAAATGAAAAGTACCCTATATAGAGTAGGTGCTAAAAAGGGTTCCATAACTGCCTTTGAGGAACTGCAATTGGGCCGAGTACCTGCAGTATGAACGTGATGAAAGTTCCTGGTTCTGGAAAAGGGTTCTGGTTCTAGGAAAAAGTTCTTGTGGTATGAAAGCGGCCATAAACACAGAAACATAAATACACAGCCAACTCTAAACAGAGTTCCTTGTCCTGCAGGGCTAAATGGAAGGGTTTTGAATTCCTGACTTTTTGAGTGTTGAATGTTCAATGTCTGAGTGTGTTTGTGTGGTTGTGGCGGTGGGGGGTGGGGTGTTTGCATCTGCAGCATCCAGCCTGTACAGTTTTGGGTGTTTCCAAACTGGCGGTTGAGTGATGTTGGATGAGAACGGGGGGGCAGATTGAGCACAGCTGCATGGTCAGGGGCAGTGCAGAACCTGGATGGTGGAGGAGTGTAGATATGCACCCAGGACCAGTCAAGTGAAGGGTTGGTCAGCTGCACAAACCCTGCGTGTGTGTGTGTGTGTTATCTTTATGCTACATTGTGGGGACCATTTTCCAGGTCCCCACAAAAATCTGTGAATGCAATCAAAAAAGTAAAAATGCCAAAAGTCTCGTGTTTTGTTTGGTTTCTTATAGTTAAGGTTCGGGCTGGGTAGGGGTTAAGGTTGGCATTGTTGGGATTAGGGTGATGCTCATAGAAATGAATGGACGGTCCCCACAAAGATATGAATACAAAAGTGTGTGAGAGAGCGAGAGCCAGGATATGCTGCTGTTACACATAGCTAAAGTACAGACCAGCAAGACTGTGATGTGGATATAGGGAGATAAAGTTGATTTTTAAATGTCTTTTTTTACTTCTGACTGTAAACATATAAAGATTAGGGATAAACAGCGATCCGCAGTTCTGTGTTTGCAGTCTGTGGTAATACTGCCTGTGCCCAACTCTATCGGAGAGCGTTAATGAGAACAGCGACCTTCCTGGGCGGTTTGGGTGGTTTTCAGACTTCACAAGCTGAAAGGAACAAAGACAGGATGGCCTTGCCAAAATTTCAACAAAACTTTCAAATTGCTGTCAAAAATCTCCCCACTTATTACTCCATAGATGTAATACTGGAGTAGCGCTTTCCTGAGCACACACTCAACTCCCTTAGAAACACATACTCACACGTTTTTTCTGATTATGCCAAATATTTTCAGCAAGCTGACAGGTCCTGAGAGAGTTAAGAAAAACTTGGCAGGAAATACAATCTCTTAAAGACCTTGTGAGTGACACAGTAAAGACAGCGGAGCTGATCAGCAGGAAAGCACGGCCGCCGTTCTACTTTTCATGCGGCTATACAAACAGGTCCCTGCTTATTCAATGTAGAGGTGCATCAGCCGCCTGATACAGATTTTGCCCTTTGCGGGGAGCATGGTGATTGGAGGAGCCGCACAGGGGTTACTTTTGTTTAAATGAATTTGATTCACCAGGAGGGGGCGACTGGGGGCGTCCTGGACCATATGGTCATGGAGAGCTGCTATTGCAAAATGAAAAAGCAGCCCAGAGCTTGCTTTTTTCCCCAGCGGTCCTCTAAAAGGTCGGGCTTTCAGCTGATTGGACACACCCTGTCATGTGATGTCACAATCCGGCATGCCGAACCGAAAACCAGCGTAGCAGTACGGAGTTTAAAAACAAGCCCACATCTATGGGATTTCAGACAATCACATGGTTTATACGAAAGCCCCCTGCACTCACATCCAGTCCTCTGCTGCCCCTCAGCCCCAATTTCGCAGCTGGCCTGTGTTTCATCTCAGCTAGTTAGTCAGGGGGGTGGGGTGGGCTGATTTCCTGTGTGGCTGCATCACGCCGCCATCGGCAGAAACATCTGCAGGAATATGTAGAGGCTTTCTCCACTGCCCCCCCCCTTCAGTATCACCTCCTGGAGACCCCTCCCAAGCCGTCCGACCGGGTCCCGAGACGCTAACGGCGTTGTTCTGTCCCAAAATGAGGTCATGTGTGATGCCCTGTTCAGCCGTCTGTTCTCTGGTGGCCTCTTGCATGTGACACACACAAACAATCTGTCACCAATGTGACCAATGTCACACCGCTCGCTCTGCGGGGGTGGGGGTGCAAGGGACAGGGAAATGACTCAGAGGTCATCTCAGGCAGCTTTCATATTGTGCTCCATCCATACATCCATCCATCCATCCATCCATCCATTCATTCAGGGTGGATTTACTTATCTGAGGGCCCAAGGCTGACATCAGCATGGACAATCAAGAGTTGCTGATAACTGTTGAGTTTTCCCGAGGTGGAGCTCGAGGCTGTAGCCTAGGATAACCTATGCATTAATCTCCCCCTGCATCCATCCATTCATCCATCCAAACATCCATCCAGGGGCAGATTAACTTATCTGAGGGCCCTAGGCTGACATCAGCATAGACACTCATATGCTGCCAATTTAAGTAGCCATTATTTATGTTTCCCAGCCCCCTAGGCTGTAGCTACGATAGCCCATTAATCCACCCCTGCATCCATCCATCCATCCATCCAAGATAACCCGTTCAGGGTCACTGTGGGCCTGGAGCCTTTCCAGGAGGCACGAGGCAGGAGGACACCCTGGACAAGATGGGCGTTCAATGCTGGATGCACACACCCACTGTGGGAAATATAGGGACACTAATTCCAGTGAATGTTTCTGGACTGCTGGAGGACAGCCTGACAAACACAGGAAGAACATGCAAACTTAGATGAATCAATCCCCCAACTCCGGGGGCGTCCAGCTGTGGGACATTTTCAAAGATGGAGCACCTGCGTGGGATTGTAAGACCTGGGTGGATATAAGCCATGTTTGACGTAGAATACGTCATGTGTAATATGCTCATCTGAAGTCAGATGCAGTTGGAGACGGGAGACATT